ATGGAAAATAATGAAGACAAGAAGGATAGACGCAAAGAAGAAAAGGTAGAACATTTTACCTTGTGATTCTGACATTTTCTTTGGTATGGGTTGCGTTGGCAATTTCAGTAATTAATTTTTAGAACATATTATTATGATTCATTTTCACTCTAGACATCTATTAACACTTAATTTCTTTCTCTTTCAGGAGTAGTAACTCTGAAGTAAGATTGCTACAGAGAGCAGAACTTGCACTCAACATTTTTTTTTTTACCTGAATTTTGTTTTCAAATAAGAATGTAAGCATTTTACTTAAATTTTACTGTTTGCAAGTAGTCTATAGAAATTTTTGTTTTAAGTCTTCGGATATCTTGAAAAATAGTAGACTGTATGTTGAAAATTGTATTGAAATAAAGTAGAACATTGTTACGTACCATATTTGTAACTCTCAACTTTTAAAAAGTACTTTTACTGTTTTTGTTACATGCATTGTAATTCTGCTTTGTCTATAAGATATGGTCAAGTACAGCTCTGTGAAAGTTCTGATTCTCTTCCTTCCCTGTTTGTTAATGTTTATTCTGAAGTAAACGTTAGCTCTACATACAAATCTGTAAGCAGAAATTGTTTATAGTGACCACACTAACTATTTTAACTGTATTCATCTGTTTAACATCTTACGGTAATTCGAACACTACATCTGTAGGGTAACTAATTTTTGAAGTGTACCACAAAAATTACTACTTTGATAAATTATTACTTTGATTAACACTTCAGCAAATAAGGAAAAGATGCTTTGCCAATAGTTTAACAAGTATAGACTGTTAAAGGCTGGATTAAAGGTTTGAGAAAATACTATTTTTACTGAAAGCAGGAAGTGGCCTATAAAAAACATTCTTAGGAGCCTTTGAGTTCAAAATTCAGTGTTCTCTTGATTCTTATTTGGTAGCTTGAGTCATGGTCTTAGTAGCTGTTTAAGACAGGGAACTGGTTTGTAACAACATAGCAAGTAAAATGTCCCACTCCCGCAGAATATTTTAGTATTAAAAGGAAAGAAAGAAAAGAACAAAATCTGTAATACTGTTGGTATGGAAAGGATTATCCTTGCAGAATAAATTGATGTGTCCAGTACCTGGTTTCATAGGTTATATATTATTTGAGCTTTTGGATAGCTGAAAATCAGTAGTATAACCATAAGAAAAAAATAGACAAATATAATTGTTCATTAGTAACTATGTTCTGATCATCAATAAAAGGTTTTGACAGGAAGCTTGTTGTAGCATTGATCTAACTTTTTTTTCCTCCCCCTATTTCAGTTGCAGTTTATAAAATAGTGTTTTTTCTTTCCAAGGGTTCTTTCCTTCAGGTAGATAATCTTTCAAATGTGATTACTCTTTTTATGTTTATAACTCTTAAAAGATTGAAAAACTGAAATAGTAAACTTCATATTTATGTCTGTCTTTATATAAAACTAACCACATTTCATTTTAATTCAGCAACTGAATTGTATATTTTTGCATTTAAAGATAGTACTTTATTCTATAAATGTGAGCTTTCGAAGATCTGAGGTTACGGTTCTTTCATCCTCATTTTTGATGCTTTGCAGTACATACAGCACCTTAATTATAGCCGGGGACATTTGCTGAGAGCTTTTAGAAACTAAACAAAACTAAAAGGAAATTCAATGCATTTGGTACTTGTTGTCTAAGGTCCTTAGTATTGCTTTATTTCCTCTTATTTTGTCTTTCTGAAATTACCTAGTAAAGCAGAGGAATTGTACTTGTCAGAGCAAGGATGTTTTGCATCAGTTTGGGCATAACTAATACCCTCTTACTCAGAAAGATGCTTATTTAAATTTTAAAGCAACATGGTTGAGCCCCCAACACAGTTTTCATAGCATTCTATTTTATATGCATACACGGTGGTTTTAACAGCTACTAGTTAGACAGACACAGAATTCCTGTGCATGTCTGTAATTGTAGCTGTGCTTTTTTTACTTGAAAGGGAAAAGAGGAGAGGGGATTTACTAAGAAATTACTCAATAGGGAGTTGGGAATAAAGCTACTAAGTCCTTTGGGGAGGTTATACTTAAGTCATATGCATTGCTTTAACTTCGGTTACTTTTGTTCTCATAAAGTTGAGGAAAGCATATCCGGTCAGAGAATACAGTAGGATAGAGTGATGGTGAGAGTGGTGATGAGAGCTCTGTAATAGAATGGCATTATGGATGTTACCTTCTTCAGAGCCCAGAATAATATAAAAAGTAGTCTGTATTTTTTTAAATCACAATTTAATTCCACGCTGTATGACATGTTATAAAAGCTGAATGGTTCCTTTTGGTAAGGACATTTGTTTACACGTCCCAGGAAATAACACTCTGATATGTGCATTAACAGACTTTATTTTGCTTGGAGAAGGGAAATAACGATGAACCAAAGGATATTTACAGAAAAAATAAAAGGCCATGACTCAGTTCTTAGGTGTTTATACTTTTTAACATCCTAGGAATTTAGCACAAAAAGCAAAAAGTTTTTTCAGTTGCAGTCTGCTTCAAGGAATTGCTCTTGTTCCTTTTTGTCATAGTTAAAATCAGTGTTGGGAATTAAATTATAATTTGAGAAAAAAATACTACCCAAAAGAATGAATGTAGATGGCTAAACGATTCTTACTCAGTATGATGTATAATGCAACAGGGACTCTTGTAAATTGTCATATGCCAATAAAAATGTCCTAAGTGGTAATAGCGGTTGTTTTTTCACCTGATTGTGAGACTATTCCCGTGTGCTATGCAACTGATTTCTGTGGCTGTTTTTAGATTTTTAGACTTTAAATTCATTGGTAGGGAAACCTGGTATGACATAGCTTGATAAATACTTTCTAACATTCCTCAAACTGTTCACTCTTTCTCCTGGAAAGACAGAAAATTTTATAATTGGTAAGTCTGAGCCAATATTAAAAGGTACAAGAAGTGGGCGTAGTGGAGCAAGAGTGTAATCCTATCTCTGGGAGGCTGAGGCAGAAGGACATAGCACAGATTTAAGCCTAGCCTGGGCAACCTAGTGACTCTCTGAGACCCTCTCTCAAAAAGGAAGAGGGCTAGTGTTGTGGCTCAGTAATCTTAACGTTAACCCTAGGATCAATCCTAGTACTACACCAAAAGGAAAAAAAATCAAGGAATTCAGATTTATATTTTTGTCCTGTTCCTATGTTAGGAACCTTTTCAGCCATAATACTATGGTGGAAATTACTCTTCTTTCTAAAACTACAGTAGCTTAGTTAATAATTAAAAAACAGTTGCTTGCTTAAGTTAGTCTTTTTTCTCTTTAAAATCTTGAATACTTCTTACAGTGCTCCTTATATAAATTATTTGAAGGACAGTGTGCCATTCTTTCAACTTTGTGTACATATGTGTAGAAGGGTGTATAAGCTCACTGGTAATTTGATACTGAGTAACTAATGTTATGTACAAGTTTCTTACATAAAGTTGTTTTCAGAGTACTTTTAAGGCTGCCATGAGATTGTTAAATTTGCACTTTGAAAAGTTGAATGCCATCAAGTGTATGTATAAAAAGATTGTTACAGTAAACTATAGACGGGGTGTGGTGGCTCTTGGCTGTAATCCCAGCACTTGGGAGGCTGAGGCAGTAGGATTGCTGTGAGTTCGAGGCCAGCCTGGGCTATATAAAAATTTCAAGGCCAGTCTAAACTACATAGCAAGACCCTGTCTCAAAAAAGTCAAAAATAAAAATAAACTATAAAAGTTAACTGGTTGGTATTAATATACAGTTACCAAATTCATTGTAGCAAAAGGCTTGTGGATTAATAGCATCGTCCCAAAACAGACATCAGATTCCTGAGTGGAGAGGTTCAGACAATGTGAGGGATTTGCCAGCTATGAGAAACGACTATTAAAATTTAATTTGTACTTTTAATTGAATAATAGGATATAAGAGAGATGAAAGGCTTCATTAGGATTTGGAGTGAAAAAATAGATGGCATTTGTCTTTGAGACCAGGTCTTGGGCCTGTAGTTTAGACAAAGCTTTAACTTCACTGTGTATACTAGGCTTTCAGTTAACTAATGATCCTCCTGCCTCAGCCTCCTAAGTCCTGGAATTGTAAATGTGCATGCCACCTGTTGGTTTTGTGGTTTTTTTTTTTTTTTTGTTTTGTTTTTTTGTCTTTAAGAGACAGGATCTTGCTATATAGTTCAAGCTGACTTTTAATTTACTGTGTAGCCCAGGCTGGCCTTGAATGTGTGATGAACCTTCTGCCTCAGGCTTCCACATGTTGGGATTACAGGTGTGTACGACGACACCTGGCTGCCCTTTTGGTACTTTTAAAGATCAAGATAGACTTTTTGTCTCTCAGAAATTTTATGAATACAGATTTTAAAAAATCTCATTTTTAAAAACTTCTTACTTTTTGTCTTTTTGAGACAGGGTCACACTGTGTAGTTCATGCTGGCCTTGAGTTCACTTTGTAGCCCAGGCTGGTCTTGAACTCACAATGATCCTCCTGCCTTAGCCTCCTGAGTGCTGGGATTACAGTTGGTGTGTGCCACTAGGCCTGGCTTTTGGCTCCACTTCCTCATGGCCCACTGAGCTGTGAACTCCTCAGTGGATGGATTTGTTGATGGGATCAGCACCCTCCTGATCCGGTCACCTCTGGATATGACTGCGCCTGATATCAAGCCTTCAAGGACCCTTCATATTTACACTATGATGTCTGTTACCTAAGGGCTCATGCTTTATTTAGGTTTTGTGATTTTAAATACATGTGCACAAGTAAATAATTTTAAAATATGTAGTAGGTATCTGTATAGGTACAGTGTTTTGTTTCCATTTGGTCTGTTTTACTGGCAATGCAAAGAAGCAGATTTTTTTCAGGATAATTTAATTTGCCATCTTTTTTCTTTTTTTTTTCTTTCTGAGACAGGGTCTCACTATGCAGTTCAGGCTGGCCTTGAGCTCCCTTTGTAACCCAGGCTGGTCTCGAACTCATAATGATCCTCCTGCCTCAGCCTCCCTAGTGCTGGGATTACAGAAGTGCGCCACCACACCCGGCTTAATTTGCAGTCTTAAGCATAGACTCGTTAAGCTTGTAGAGGCTATGGCCAACTTTTGCAGAATGTTATATTCTACCCTTGATGTAATTACAGCATAGTAATTTCAGTTTACCTACCACACAACTTAAGGCTTGAGTCACAAGGCTAATGGCGTTCCGCTGGGCAGTAGGCAAGGTTAAGTGTACCTTAGCTTTTGCCTAAAGCAGTCCTTAGTCTGTCTCCATTAACTGCAAAGCCGTCTGGCTTTGGGTGTAATAAAATGAATAAAGTCTGGTCTGGCTCATGACATAATAGCTGCAAGGAAATAGATTACAAGTGGTTCTTGGAACATCTTTGTAGTTAGACAGCAAAATCAAAGATTAATGTGTAGCACTTGTAATAGAGCTAGGTGGTAAGCTGATTCCATTAGTCCCCAAATACCAGCAGTTGGAGACAAATCATTCTGCCTAACATTGGTTTCTGTGAGTAGAAGTGAGGCAGTGTTTGACAGGCGCCAGAACACCAGGATCCTGACTTTGGCAGCTCCCATGCACAGGAGAGGAGCTAAAATTTAGGGCTTCATCTTTAAGGCATGACAGCAATTACCTACTGCGTGGGCTGGGGAAACTTGAGCTTTATCCCAGCAAACTGAACACTGAAATTGACAGGGTCGTTGTCATTATTGAGAAAACTGACCAAGAACAGAAAAGGAACCACTTTTGAGAAAACATTGAAAATCGTCTCAGAGAGGTAAAGAAAAACAACGAGATGGCTTGGATCAAGTTGGGAGAGGTGAACACAGCCAGGAAAATTTGAGAAAGAAAGCTACAGTATTTCTGAACATTACTTAGGAGCCATGTCTTCTGAAAGTCTAGGAAAATCCACCGTGAAGATGAGCAGTGGAAATGCTGAAACTTCTAACAGGTTATCAAAATTAGTATGAATGCTGTAATAAAAGGTGCAGGAAGGATCTGAAGAACTGAAAAGGCGTTCATGGGGACGCTTTTGACCTAGGCCCACATTGCTGTCTAAATCAAGAGTTGGAATGTTGAGCCATGTTAATAGAGCAGCCAGGGCAATAGTTCCTTTTCTGTTCTTGGTCAGTTTTACTTTGCCCTTACATGTGCTGTGTTGGGTAGGAGCTGGGAAAGGGAAGTGGTTATACAGTCATGCATATTCATTTATGGGGAAAAAGAGGACAGGCCATTTGAAAAAGCTGCGATTGTTCCTTGTAAGGTTTCTGATCCTGATCCCTCTATTTTGATATTGCCCATCACCTCTCCCTCCTTTCATCGTTTTCCCGTGCAGACTACTGGGTTATCACTTAAAATCACTGCCATCCTTCTGCCATGCTATTCCCAAATAATTCCTGGTCATGCTTTCTCTCATCCAAAATCCAATTATTTTCTTCAAGTAGACCGAGTACCTATTTTTATACTAGGTACCGTATTTGTAAGTGGTGTTCAGAGGAAACCTCTCAAGACTTGTCTTCACCACGTCACCTCCAGGAGGAAGAAAAGCCTGCATTTTCCTGAGCTTAGAAGGGTGTCCGAAACATAGCAGACATCCAATATTAGCTGAGTAAATATATTAATCTCCCTTTTAAAAGTTTCGTAAGTCAGTAGGCAGGCACAATTTTGTTTTTGTGACAATTCAGGCTGGCGTGGGAATCACTAGCCTAGGCTGGGCTCGAATTTTTCGATTCAGGTGTGCTGCGTCACTCAGTGCTACGCCACAGTGCTACGAATGAATTTTAAAAACGGCAAAGCTGCAAACCTCTAGTCGCTTAGGCATTTAATAGAATTCGCTGGATGGCGAATAAATAAAGCACGACTCTTCGGGGCAGGCATACTTTAGAGGGCGGGCCTGGTGTAGGGCTGCATGGTGCAGGATCCTTCATCGCCTACCCAGCCCAGTTGTCCCCAGGGCTAGGGTAACACTGGATCTACACCGTTTTAACTGCCACCCGGAAACCCTAAAGGCGCGTTCTGCGCGTTCGTCTGCGTCCCAGACCTGTCCCGCCCATCAGCTTCCTATTTGGGTTCTATTGGTTGTCTCGCGGAAGGCCCGCCCACCCTTAGGGGGTGTGGAGAAGAAACTCGCTTGACATCTAGCAGCCAATCAGGAGGAGCAGTTTTCAGTTTTGTCCAGTGGGATCGGGTTTGGGTGTCACAGCCCGCGGAGTTTAATTTCCCGTCCAGGAACGCGGAAGTAATGAGCTTCTCCAGGGGCCGCTAGGCTGGCGGAGTGAGCTCCTCCGGACTTGGGGTTGTCACCTCCACAGAGTCACCCAGGCTGAGTGTGGTGCTCCAGGTTGGAGCCCCGGCCGGGCAGCCTAGTCCGGAGCCCTTCGGTGGGCGCGTCATTACTGCCTGTTACTTACAGCCAGTGGTGCGCCGGCGGCGCGGGGTTGAAGTCTGCGCTTCCTCCTCAGTACTCGCGCACGCTGGAGTTGTTCACTTAAGGGCAAGGATTCGGAGACCCACGTCTGTAACGCCCTCCGCTTCGTGATCCCGTGGTTACCTGAGGCTCGGCTCTGGAGGAAGGTGAGCAAGGCTGTAGTGCGAGTGACACGACTGTGCCCTGGTCGCATCGTTACTAGCTGGGTGACTCAAGTTGTGTGGCTTATGGGCATGTTCATCCTTGTCTTTAAAACGAGCGCGTAGGAATGGTGCTCCTGAGAAGAGCTGCTGTTCATTTTGTTAAAGCTTTGAGTCAGACCCTTGCCTTCTTTCCAGGGTCTGCTAAACTGACCTCTCACCTAAGAATCTCTGCCTAGGGCTTTCAGGACGTTGAGCCTCGCTGTCACACATTAACTTAAAACCTTCCCTGCCAGGCGTTTTTTTGTAGACCTAGCTATCCTATAAGATTTTCATGTAATTTAAAAGACGAGTTGGTTTCCTTACTCCTGGCCCCTCTCCTCCCTGCTTCCGGTTTCTCTTTGCTTCCTTCAGAGTAATGCTGGCCGGGGAAATTAGCTGATGGTGTAATGAATAATGAAAGATCTCTTCTAGGTTAATTAATATAAAGTATGTGCACTTATTTGTCAAGAGTAATATTTTCTAAAAATTTCCCCAAAGGTGTGAAGAACTGATGATGTTTCCTTAAATTTACTTTACCAATGTCTGTCCTGTGGAATATCTTACGAGAAATGCTGGCTTATTTTGGTGTTCCCGTAGACCAGGTAAATGTCTTTTAATGGGTTTGGATGAATCTGCTTTCTTCTTGGGTCTCATTTTAAGAATGATTTAAATGCATCTAGGCCCAATTATTCTCTTCAGGTGGGACAAAGGTTAGTTCTCAATAATAGGGTTTTTTTTTTTTGTTTTTTTTTTTTTTGTCTTTTTGTTTCTGAGACAGGGTGTCGTTATGCAGTTCAGGCTGGTTTTGAGCTCACTTTGTAGCCCAGGCTGGTCTCGAACTGGCAAAGATCCTGTTGCCTCAGGCTTCCGAGTGCTGGGATTACAGGTCTGTGTCAGCATGCCCTGGCTCAGTAGTATAATTTTGATAATCTGAGGCAAGGGTGGGAGGGATTAAAGTGTACTGTTGGTGGTATTGTTGGAGCCCAGCCTGGACAATTTAGCGCCTTAGTAAGACCCTGCCTAAAAAAATAAGAGAGGACTGGGGATATAGCTCAGTGTAGAGGCCCTGGGTTCAATCCCTAGACTGCAAAAAAAGGTGTATATGTGGGTAAGATTATTAACCTACTCACCTCCAAGGTCAAATGCCAACAGAACATACAAAGGAAGCAAAATCAAAATATAGATGTAACCTTCACAGAAATAAATTACATAGATAAATAAAACTTTAAGGTGATTTATGAACACATTTGATGTTTGAACATAGAATAGTAACTTATACTCAACAAATCCAAAATAAATGTGAGGGAGAGAGGATGATTTGGGTCTGAGATTTACAAACAAGTCCAGTTTTATCTCCTTGTGTAGATGTAAAGCAGTATTCTTGGTTCTGCAGATGATAGAGAAACAATACTTGAGTTTTGTACTCATGAAGTTTAAAATATGAGAGACACAAGAAGCAAATATAACTATGAGACTGACTATCAGAAAGACACAAAGTAGTATGTGTGCTTACAAAATGGGCAAATCATCCGTTTGGTTAGGTAAATTAGAAGATGGACGAACATAATGCTAAGATTTTAAACCAAAGTAAGTTGAAGCATGATGATGCCATTACTATAGGCAACCCAATATGAGCAATGAATTTGAGTAGGGAGGTAAGGTGAGCCAGAGGTGGTGCTGGACTACATAGGTAGAAACACAATTAGATATATGGTTAGGGAGGCTGGGAGAAAAAGATCAAGTTTGGTAGTTGTGTGCATTGTTTTGGTATATGAAGCCATAGATGTTGATGACAATGGGAGATGTCACTAGATGTTATTGAAGCATTTTAAATTTCAGTAGTAGGCTGGAGATGAATACTGAATAGCAGTTGAAGATTTGCTGATCGTTATTGGATTATTGGTACTTTTATGAATTTCTATAGATGGAGTTGGGACTAAACTGGAGTATTTTGAAGAAAGGGAGGAAGGGAAGCAGCATCAGCAACGTTCTTTGGAAAAGTTTGCTTGAGAAAAGAAATTAAGAGGACATCAACTGTAAGGGGCAGTAGGATTGGACTTTTTTTCCCTCTTTTAAAATTAGAGGTAGCTTCAGCATGTTTGCAAGCTCTGGAGGAAGAATCTAAGATACATATGAGAGAGGATGATTGAACAGTACTATCCTGAAGAGAACATAGTTGAACAGGGAATCTAAGTAGGCCTTGAGGAGAAGAGAGACAGTTGATTTTTTTGTTTGTGTTTTTGTTTTTTTGAGATAAGGTGTTTCCTGTGTAGTTCAAGGAGGCCTTGAATCCACTCTGTAGCCCAGGTCGGCCTCAACTCACAGCGATCCTCCTTCCTCAGCCTCCTGAGTACTGGGATTACAGGTGTGGGCCTGAGACAGTTGTTAGAATAGATAAAGTGAGAGAGGCTGGGTGTGGCGCATGCCTGTTATCCCAGCACTTGGGAGGCTGAGACAGGAGGATCACTTTGAGTTCAAGGCCAGCCTGAATTGCCTAGCAAGACCCTGTCTCAAAAAGACAAAATAAATAAATAAAAAAAAAATAAAAATAAATAAAAAGGGTGAGAGATGGTGGAGAGAGATTTTGAGTGGACAGAAATATAGTTGAGGTATGTCAAACTGAAGGCTTTGGTTTTCTTGGAGCAGAAGCAGGGTTCTTTGGAGGCCACAAAAATGGTGGCACTGAGTTATCAGAGACTGGAGGTAGCTTTGGTTGACACAGTGTGAGCAGATGTTATGAAGGAACTGCAGAATTCCTTTGAGGACCCAGCTAAAGTCAACGTGAATTTACAGCTTTGCTAAATATTACCATTTTGTGATTTTTTTTTTCTCTAGCTCTTAGTAGAGGAAATAAATGAATCAAAGTGTGGAATACTTTAAATAAATACTATAAATAAATCAAAGTATGGAATACTTTAAATTCAGGACTCCACAAAGATCCTGGCATTAACAGGTTCAGGATCACTATCATCTAGATTTTATTATTTGAACATGGTAGCTGTTGGCCATATACCACCTTTAAGTACTTCAGATATCTGTTTTTTGTTGTTGTTGTTGTTTTTTGAGATAGAGTCTCACTATGCAGTGTAGGCTGTCCTTGAACTCACTAAGTAATCCAGATTGGCCTTGAACTTGTGCACTCCTGCCTTTGCCCCCTGAGGGCTGGGATTACAGGTAAGCGCCACCATACCTAGTATCATCTGTCTCTAGATTTCAATGTGCTTACTAGAATACGTAATTTACATGTGTGGCTTATATATTTCTTTTGGAAAGTGTCTGAGGTAATAGTAGTGTGCTCATGATTGAGAAATACTGTTCTCAAGGATTCAAATGGAAGAGTTTATACTAATGGAGGAGAGAAAACTGCAAGTGAAACAAATTCACATGTACTTGTGTGGTACACATCAAAACCAATATAGAGCCAGGTGTAGTGGCTGTAATCCTAGCACTTGAGAGGCTGAGGCAGGAACATCACGAGTTCAAGGCCAGCCAGGGCTACAGAGTGAGACCCTCTCAAAAATAAAATAAGCTAGTTGAGAACTGAATTTAGGTAGAGGAAATGATCAAATTTGGAGAAGAATGTGAATAGCATCGTCAAAGATGAAAACTGAACCAGCATTGAGCATTGGGGCTGGAGTTGTGAGCACACTAGTGAATGCGCTGCAGTTAGGATAATATTGTCGTGTTTTTGAGACAATTAAAAAAACTTCTTGACCCAGAAGAGCATGTGTTCTTGTTAGTGAATAGTCTGAAATTAAGCTGGAGAGAAAGAAAAGGACAAAGCAGCTCAAGATCTTAAGGGGTGATTAAAGAATGAACGTGGACTGCACAGAGTATGTCGCAGAGACAGGGCTGGAAGAGCTAATGAAAGATTGTGTCAGGCTGGTTGATGGAATCAGTATTCAGTTTTGGACTCAAGTGTTTGGATCTGATCAGACAAATGTAGAAGTGTGGCCTTTTAAAAGCAGAGGAATGCCATGACTTTGTACAGGAGGCTTCTATTGCTGATGACTTTCAAATCTTTTTCTCTACTCTTATCTAGTTCTATGGCTTCAAATTTTACTTATACAGAATCATGTATTGTGTAGCCTAATGAGTCCCAAGTCTGTTTCTCTACTCCTGGTTTTTCTCCTGAGCTTCAGTTCTGGGTATCTATTGGCTCAGTGGATGTACTACTTATTGAATCCTCTCATAAAGATGCTAATAGAATGATCTCTATATCTGTTGCACATAGTAAAGTTTGTACTTATTATAGCATCTTAAGAGAAATGAAAAGTCCAATTCTTAATGCTGTGCAAAAGAAAGAAATCTCTTTGTGTTAAAATCTCTGCAAAAAATATCTTACGTTTTGAGGGGTGGGAAGTTTCTTGTGGCAATAATTTATATCAATATGGGGAGCACTAGTGTGGTAGGCAGCTTTCTGTTGCTGTGACAAAATACCTACCTAACATGAACAATTTACAAAAGGAAAGGTCTTTTGGGGCTCATGATATTGGCAGTTTCAGTCCATGGTCATTGGCTTCATAGTAGAAAGGCATAGAGGAGGGTGGCAGCTCGCGGTAGGGAAGAGCCTGAGAGGAAGGGGCTAGGGACCAGACATGGCTCCAGTCATAGCCCATGATGCGCTCTCTTCAACTCGGGCCCACCTCCTGTTTCCATCATTTCCCGGTGTTGCAATCAAATTGTGATCATCGGTGGATTAATCCGCTGATGAACTTAGAGTCCTCATTATCTAGTCACTTCCCCCAAACTCATCAGCAACCAAGTCTTCAACACAGTAAGCCTTCTGGAGGCACATTTAGCATCCCAACATAATACCAAACTAAATGACTACTATTCGGCTTATGTGGTACATTTCACTTCTAATACTTCTTCAAGAATTAAGCATATATATTCCACTGTATGTAAATAACTTTTTGAGTTGTCTTGCAAAGTTCTTCGGCTTTTTATTTCTTCTTTAAAGGAAATTGCAGAAGTTTTCTCTATTGTTTCATCACTTGATACATTGAAATTGTCAGGTTTTGTTTGTATTTTTTTTGGACAGGGTTTTGCTATGTTGCGCAGGTGCAGCATGAACTCCTGACTCAAGTGACCTCACTTCAGCCTCCTGAGTAGCTGGGATGACACATGTGTGCTGCCATGGCTAGCTGAAATTGTCAGAGATTTTTTTGTGGGGAGAAGGTTCTGGGGCTTGAACCCAAGGCCTTTGCGGTGATATACTTTCCTAGTCTTTTTTAAACATTATTTACTTTGAGATGCGGTCTTGTTAAGTTGCCCCAGACTGAGTTTAAGCGTGTGATTCTAATATCTTAGCCTCCCAGAATGCTGGCATTATAGATATACATCACCACATCTGGCTGATGGTGTCAGTTTTTGATTGAGTCAAAAGATGGAATTTTAAGGGGAAAGAAGGCAATTTTTCTGGACAAAATTCCACAAGGTATTTGGACATTATCAAGAATAAAAGAAAATGAAGTGTGTTGCTTTCTTAAAAGATCATCCCAGAATGTATATATTTTCACTTCATTCTTCTGTTTTTTTTTCAATGCTGGAGTTTGAACTAAGGACCAGACAAGTGCTAGACAAGTGCTGTACCACTGAGCTAAACCTTACAACTTCATTATTGTAAAAAAGATAAATATTAATAGAGATTGATTCTTTGAAGAAGATACTTAAGAGTATGCAGTACTATATTTTCTTTTTAAAAATGTTATTGCATCTTTCACATTTCTGTTTTAGATGCATAAACATGTTTAATTGAAGTATATTTTAAATGAAGCCTTTTTTCAAATAGATTTTGCTGATTTGGAAAAAAAAGGACTATGGATCATATCGTAGTATTGTGCGTATTATTGGGAAAATGCTTCCTTTAGAACCCTGCCGAAGACCTAATTTTGAGGTAAGTCAGGCACCATGCATTAAGTTGTTTATAAAATAATTCTAGGTATCTCTAGGGGGTTAGGATATCTAACAGCAAAGCAAGAAATGTTTCCTGAAAGCTAAGAACCTTTAGTTTACCCCTAGAAACAAGTTACTTCACTTACTCTTTTATTTCTTTACATATTTATATTCAGAGGTGAACAGGTACATGAGCTTATTTTGTTTTTTTAAATTTTATTTCTGTTTGCTAACAGATGAGATTAACCAGGGGAGAGAGTATTACTGTGCACTTAGAATATAGGATAACATTTTTCTGTTATTTTTTCTTGCTAACAGGTGCATATTTTTCTACTGAATATTCCTTCCCTTGTCTGTCTTTTGGATTTTTAACTTATTTAATGTGATGGGGCATGGGGCACATATCTTTGCCTGACTTCCTACAGGGCTCTGACTTTTTTCTCTTTTACTTTTAGTTGATCCCGCGCTTGAACTCTATAGAGTCTGATAATTGTGGCTGTATAGTTCCATCTTTTGCTGATGTTTTGTCTGTGGCAAATGATGAAGAAGCCAGTTGTCTTAGATTTCGGTAATTTTTATGCTTATCTTGGGAAGGGGGTATGGGCCATAACCTGAATTCTTGCATGTTAAAGTTTGTTCCTATTGCTTGAGCTATTTTGTTCTAAGTGCTGTGTCATACTAATATCTTCCTAATAAGGGTGACTTTTTTAAAGCCAGTTTTTCTTATTACACATTTAAACTAGCATTAGGCATGAGGGCAGAGAGTTAAAGGGGTGCCAGAGTCTTTATTTTCATTCTGTGTTCTTTACTAGAGAGAAAACATTGTTATTTCTATGAAATACTGAAAATGCTGCATTTATTTTATGTATTTAGCCAAAACTTACACAGGGCTTACTGCACACTAGACAGCAGTGTTAGGTATGCAGTGGGGCCTCCATATCTCTGAGAGTTCTGTTGGGCTCGACATCTATGGGTCCACATTCATGGATTCAACAAACTGTGGATCAGAAATATTCGGAAAAAAAGTTCCAGAAGTTCCAAAGAGCAAAACTTAAATTTTTGTGCTCCGAGTATTATACTGAAGCCACAAAAATGAAGTGATCTATAAGATATTGTATTAGGAATTCTAAGTAATCTAGAGGTAATTTAAAGGGTGCAGTAGGCTATATGCCAATGCTCCCCCATTTATGTAAGGGATCTGAGCATTCTTGGATTTTACTGTTGTGTGGGGCCCCACCCTGGAACCAGTCCCCCATGGGCGCTGAAGGACAGCTGTCTTTCACCTTTTGGCGAATACTCCTAGGGAGCACTAACTTCTGTGTTGTTACCTTCAGTACGTGCTGTACGAACAGTGAGCGTCAACTTTGAGATGTCCTGACTAAATGTATTACGTGTCAGACTGCTTTATCCATTTTCAAAAAGTCAGAAGACCCCTAGTTAACTTACCCCTAGTTAACATAATCCTGAACGTAAAGCTTTTTAGTACCTTATGTAGAATTTTTAAATGAGCTTATACAGTATTTAAACTAAAGGGTAGAACAGTTACAGGACAATTCGGTATGTTTGTCTTACAATCTGTGGGCAAGGCTTGTTCTCTCGCTCCCTGGCCTCTCAGGGCCGTCTGTTGGAGGCTGCATTCTGTTCTGTATGTTGAGGACACAGAGCTAGGTAGGATGCATTTGTCCTCCTTGAGTCTGCACAGACAAGGGGAGTTGCTCTGATCTTATTTTGTCTTTTGTTTTTCTTGAAAGATTTTATTTCTTTTCTGATTGGAAATGTCTGTATTTCTCTGTCCCTCTTCCACCTATAGAAGTTGTATGTGGAAAAATGAAGAAAAGGAGAAAATTAAAACTTTCCATCCTTCTCAAGTAGCTTGGGATCCACTGTCATCTGCTCGAAGACAGAACAAACCAGTGAAAAATGATCTGCCTGTAGATGAAGCTGCAATTAAAAAAATAGCTGCCCTTGAAAAGGAGCTCAGTCTTCTTCGCTCGCAGATTGCTGCAGTTGTGGAAATGCAGGAGCGGAGAAGTGGCGCACACTCTGGTAAGTGACGGCCTGGATTTCTGTTTCAGCTTGATGACATTCATCAGGCAGTAAGTCAGTGCAGTCTGAGTAAGAGCTGTGCGCAAAGTAAATCAAGATACATTTATAGTAAAGGTGTTAGTTTTGGTGTAAAGCAGTGCTGGTGTACTTTTATAGTATTAAGTCTTGTAGGTAAGCTTTTTTAGCTCTTTAGAAAAACACTGGAGCACGAAGAGGAAGGATGCATTGGTTTGAAAGAGGAGAATAGTTTTGAGGTCTCATATATTTGTAGTTTTAGTTAGTTGCTAATACATATCCACTAATTTAAGTGAATAATATTTTCCAGTTGCTCCTTTCTTACATTTTTACAGATGTAATTTGCTTTAAACATAAAATTTTATGCAATATAGGGAGTGAACACTTTTCAGAACACATTTGGTCATGAGCTATATGTAAATATGTGAAAAAATGATATAATCCATAGTGCATACACATGTAATTTATGCAAGTAGCATACAGTATATATTTAAAACATAAATTATACACTGTGTAATGATTTATAGAAGTACATAATAACAAAATGATATTAACACAATTTTTTTCCTTAAGCGTGTTCACCCAAAGTTTTTCAGGAGTGAATCTGTTGTGAAGAAGTTAAGTACAGCTGTCCATCTTAAACTCTTGCCTAGAAATACTTGTTTGTCTGGTGTCATTAGAAAGTAGATGCAGCAGTTTGAGTATTTCTAACTACAAGCTGTTGACCACGTTTTAGCGGTTTAGAATGGAGAATGAGGTTCAGATTTTATATGAATTACTGAAAAAAATCCTTTGTTCCCTCTTTAAAATACATGACGTGGTTGATACAGTACCTAGACGTCTCTAGAGGCCTCATGTGTGCAGATGGGGCTTTTGAAAGATGATTGAATTAAGGGGACACTGTAGTGGGCTTGCGGTGAGAAAGGGGGATCTGCCCACAAGGACTGGGGTCACTGACGGCTGCCATGAGGTGAGCAGCTGTCACCCAAGACAGGCCCTACTGCTGTGCTGTTTCTGTGTTCAAGCCTGCGGAGCGTGGCCTGAAACCTCTAATGATCAGAATCAGCTTCTCC